CTGTCCCCAGAGATAGACCACTGGATCCCCCCATGGGCATTGCTGACGTTCGTAGGGAAGGGGACCACCACCTGAGGGGAGGCACAGGGATTGGTTCTGTTGGCATGGTCCTTGATGGAAGTTGATGCTACCGGCTGTCCCCTTCCCCTAGCCGGTATCGCCCACCTGCAGGTCGGGAGCAGCCCCCCCTGCATGTTCTCTCCGTGAACAGGGTTCTGGCTGCTACGGGGTTCCCGTATGCCTACAATTAGTAGTAGTTGTAGGTACTAGGTAGTGTGTGGTGAAATTGAGAGAAGAACATAGCTTTCAAAAAAAAAAAAAAAAAAAAAAAGAATGCCTGAAAGGCTGTCCCGACAGGTAGTTTGAATTAGCCCTTTTTTCGCAAAGAATTTACCCAGCCCATGTGACTGACTGAATGGTATGCTATTCTCTACTTACTATTTAGAGAATACTTACTATTTAGTAAATATAGACTTGTGACTGTTAATGAGCGGGTCATGAGTTGGAATTGAACCCATGTGGCTGAATGGTACTATGCTGTTGGTTATTTACCATCATGATGTATAGACGTGTCACGTGGGATTGTTAATCAGCGCGTGATGAGTTCCAATTGTGAGACTGTTGGACACAGTAAGGTGCGTAAACTCAGCCCATGTCATGCGGCTGAATGAGACACGCATATTATGTTAAACTGTTAACAAACAGCTCATGAGTTCGAGTCCTCATGGAATCAGACGGACACGGAATGATTAGGTGCTACCCCCTTAAAAAACGTTTTTAGAACGGACAAACGAGTTCAGCATCATCAACTTCAAGTTAATATGCGAAACGATCTGTACAAATAATACTTAGTAAAATTCATTACGTGATAGTAGTATAATGACATCAAAATTACAACCAATCATCAACTTAATAATGACGACAACCACAAATTGACAATGATCATACTACAAACTTTATTTTATACATATATATCGTCAAATAGAACTGCCCGGTAAACCGTAGGCAGAGAGGGAGAAGAGGACAACAAACGAGGGGCTGTGACAAACTGTTTCGTCGGAGNTATATCGTCAAATAGAACTGCCCGGTAAACCGTAGGCAGAGAGGGAGAAGAGGACAACAAACGAGGGGCTGTGACAAACTGTTTCGTCGGAGTTTAAGTCAACCCGCATCGCCGCGGCACAGGAATGAGAGGGGGGGGCACAGAGAGGAAGGGGGATGGGAGGAGGAAAGAACGGACGACGGACGGAGAAAGCAGGAGGGTGGATAGAGAAGGGGATGCAAAGAGTAACGGACACACAGAAAGAGAAAGCGCGAGCTCCATCCACTTCATCGTTTTTTCCCCTCCCTTCCATGCATTCTTTTTTTTTTTTCTCACCCTCGTTGTCTTCTTTGTTCCATCTTTTTCTTTTTTTTTCTCACCCTTTGCATTATCATAATTCCATTTGCATGTCGTCATTTCATCGCCACGTCATCCTTCTTTCCTCCCCTCGCTTCCAAGTGATCATTCATCGGTTTTTCGCAGGGAAAAAAAGGGGAAAAAAAAATACTCAGTCTCCGTTCGACGTCCAGTTCATCTTTCGTTTTTCAGCCCGACGTGCAGCAGAGGAAGGAGAGAGAGCTAACAGAAGGAGAGAGCCAACAGAAGGAGAGAGACCCAACAGATTGTGTCTCCTCTTGCGTCTCTTTTGGCTCTCTCTCCTTCCTCTGTTGCACGTCGTTCCCCAGTCCCTTCCGCGTTATCATGCCTCC